TGAAGTCAAAGTCAATTAGGTGTTGACGCCGTTGTGATCCGGGCATTGGAAGCGAGCGTCAAAAACTGCTTCTTAAAATGCAGACTTCCAAACATAAAGCAGTTCGTATTTTTGCTTTCATCTGACATCCATACCTTACCCAGGGAGGATGGCATTAGTCTTAGTCTTAATTTCAATGGCCCGATTAACTAAGAAGCCATTTCAAGTTGCATGACTTCGTCCAACAATACAGTGTCGCATCGTGTTGAACTATTTCATAAGAACTGTCACCCCTAGCAGCATTTACCTGACGTCGACATGCCATAGATCAGCGCCCTTCCCGATTGTATCTATATTTTTGTACCCCTAAGCTGGTCATTCGATTGCCTATAGCTGAGCAAAATGTGGTGCGGCTTCACCACGTTGTTCGGAAGTTATTGTGGAGAGACCTTCGGGGAAGGTGGGGAGGGGTCAAATTGACCCCAGCCGAACGTGTGTTAGTTGACGCCGGACACAGAAAAAAACGAGCAATGCCTCGCTGTGGTCGGTCCCGTCTGCATTCTGGGCGTTTCTCCCCTCTCTCCAAATAAACTTAAAGATTTTGCATTTAAAACCAACGCGGCTCATAGTAGACTGACAGACTAAGAAAGTCATGCCTATACAAATTAATGGATTACGCGCACGGGGAGGATCATGGTGACTCATGGTGACAAAAAATCATGGTGACTTTCACAAAAGGATGCGAAACGATGTTTGGACGGGTGATGATGATGCATGCATACCATTCATCATCATCGTTTTGATGCATGTGACGTGATGATGCATGCATTCAGCACGTCACAAACTGGGAATAAAAACCAAATTTTCACGGGCGTTATTCATGCAGTGTCTATAAACGATAAACATAGGTATTACACTGCAAATAACACACGGTGCAAGCCACGATCTATGCTTCAGATTAAAACAAGTTTAAGTTAGCTTTTCTTATAGAAAACACCAATGTTACATTCTCAGCGTTGTGAAATGTGGGATGATCTATGCAAATTCCCCGGGTACGTTCAGGAACAACATAATCCTACCAAATGCGCCATGAAAGAATTATTTGAGTCAACACTGACAATCTTTTAAGTAAAGCTGCCACAGCTACACGCTGTTTGCTCGCTTTGCCATGACCTACCAGCACTGATCTCGCCGACAATACCTACATTGGTATGTAAAATATTCTTGGAGATAAGAACATTGTAGTGGATTTTATACAAAATCCTACCCCTTCGAACACGGTTCAAACGACGGGCATCAACCTTAACATATGTTAAGCGTTCAAGGCAAACAAGTGACGCCATGAATGTCATAATGATAAACAATGGGGTGATCTGAACTCAAAATCGTGCGCGGTGGAAAACGCGGCGGGTGCAGAAGGGCAATCCGTTCCCCCCGCGAAAATACCATGCTCCAAAAACGGATACTCAACCTCCTGCATTGTTTGGCCGGTGCGCTGAATTGTTACAAACGCAGGTCATTACAAACAGACTGACACATATAGTTCCGGCTACAAAAAAAGCTAAGATCATGCGGTGAATACGTTGCTGCCGTGCTTTATGTTGCGGCACCTGCTCAGACCACGCTGCAATATAATTAGGCCCACATGTCCCTCGCTTTGATTATGTAACCATCCAGGCTCTAAACAGTGCCAGGTCATGATGTTGTAAAACATCGGTGTGTATGACGATTGCTAGATTGACTTGGTACCTGTGGCTGGTCTTACATCATTTGGATTGCCTTCATTTTCCTTGTTTGCGTGCGACGGCGAAAACGTTTACGCATCATGCGTGACGAGCTATTTCCATACGTGGCGATCATTTCTGGACTATGGTTGTGAGACTGCGCGAACACTAGAGCGGGTGTTTTCAAAAACAATTAGACGACATTGTTTCACAAAAAGTTACACGGTGTCCTTACCAAAGGCAGTTATCCAAAACTAGGCCATGATTAATTATGCTGGTGACTGCGAACCAATTAGGAATATTTGCAATCAAGTGTGTTTAACAGGACGAAACTGAATGAATAATGCTTAATGACGACAATTAAAAAGATATAACGGAAATTTGATAATCAAATACAAAACAATATTTCTTGATGTCATTCAAATATTCGTGAGGCACTCCACCAGCCGGGCCGAACAGCAGTCGACACGACTCCGCGCTCTTTTGAACGCGGAGGACCCGAGGTCACCAGTCAAGGTCAAATCGATCGGCGGCGCCGCCGGGCCCGTGCAGGCCGGCCAATGGCGTGCAGCCTCGAGCGTGCGCCGCTGTTGCTACAACAGACGGAGCGTTACGGCGGCGATCCATAGCCGCCCAGTGATTTCACGTAAGGCTCAGCCACGACGTGGCAACTGGTAAGCAGTGGCAGCCCGGCTAGCGGTTCTCGGCATTCGTATTCCGACTGCGTGGACTCGACTATCGTCGCCGAGATTGGCACGGCTCGGCACTCGGGGGTGATTGAGGTCTTCGCTCGCGTCTCAGGTTAATTTACACACCTCTGGAGGGGTTGATAAGGGGCAGCAGTGCAGATAAAAGGCGCACCCACCCACCGGAGTGCCCATTAGTTAAATGAGATGGGAAAATTGTATACTGACACGGAGGAGTTCTGCAGAGTCTGGTACTTTGGTCGGGTGGTCCATGAGCAAGTGTTCACATTGAAAACTCCGATATGCATTTGACAAAATGTTTGAATTGAAAGATAAAGTGAAGGAATTTTGGCAAGCATATCACAAGTCACCGCTTCAGTCACGTTGTAATCTGTCGGTCTTTGTGCGACGCATTTCTCTCCAGCACGCTGATCTGGAAACTGCAAAATTGGGAGAGCAAGTGTTTCTAGGTCAGGTTTCTATAGAGCGGCCATAACAACTCAAATGTAAACTAACACAACCAGCTGCGTTGTAGCAAATTACAGTCGTGAATTCGGCACGGCTTGTTCCATTTGGACTTTGGGGAATAATAACTGATTAATGATAAAGACAACTTGCTGCACTGTGGCAGATAACAATAGTGAATTGGCACAGGACTTAACAGCACAGGACTTTGAGGAATGATAACTTATGTCCCGCAATTATTGGCGGCAAACTAGCCGCTGTTAGCAAATGACCAATGTTGTTAACATTTTCACTGTTAACAACTACCATGAGACGGATTTGAATAGCCTTTCGCTGCACACATATTGACCAGCAGCCGTTGGTTGTCAATCAGTGATGATCGTTTGCTTTATGCGGTCAGTCACCAAATTTCGGAGGTTGGCCTGGTACAAGGAAGTTCGTCCGTTCCGAACAGTCAGCCATCAGTGATGGACGGCTGGGTGCTGGGGGTGCCCGATGACAGGGGGCTGTTGGTGACGGGTGACCGCTGACGGCCGTCACCGCTGACGGCTGGTGTGGCCGCTGACGGCCGTCACCACTCTCGGTTGATATGATCGCTGACGGTGATGTGACCGCTGACGGCCATCACCGCTGTGGACTGGTGTGACCGCTGACGGCTGGTGTGACCGCTGACGGCCGCCGCCGCTGTGGACTGGTGTGACCGCTGACGGCTGGTGTGACCGCTGACGGCCGCCGCCGCTGAAGGCTGGTGTGACCGCTGACGGCCATCATCGCTGTGGACTGGTGTGACCGCTGACGGCCGCCGCCGCTGTGGACTGGTGTGACCGCTGACGGCTAGTATGGCCGCTGACGGCCGCCGCCGCCGTGGACTGGTGTGACCGCTGACGGCTGGTGTGGCCACTGACGGCCATCACCGCTGTGGATGGTGTGACCGCTGATGGCTGGTGTGACCGCTGACGGCCGCCGCCGCCGTGGACTGGTGTGACCGCTGACGGCTGGTGTGACCGCTGACAGCCATCACCGCTGTGGACTGGTGTGACTGCTGACAGCTGGTGTGACTGCTGACGGCCATCACCGCTGTGAACTGGTGTGACCGCTGACGGCTAGTGTGACCGCTGACAGCCATCACCGCTGTGGACTGGTGTGACTGCTGACAGCTGGTGTGACTGCTGACGGCCATCACCGCTGTGGACTGGTGTGACCGCTGACGGCTAGTGTGACCGCTGACAGCCATCACCGCTGTGGACTGGTGTGACCGCTGACGGCTGGTGTGACCGCTGACGGCCGCCGCCGCCGTGGACTGGTGTGACCGCTGACGGCTGGTGTGACCGCTGACAGCCATCACCGCCGTGGACTGGTGTGACCGCTGACGGCTGGTGTGACCGCTGACGGCCGCCGCCGCTGTGGACTGGTGTGACCGCTGACGGCTAGTATGGCCGCTGACGGCCGCCGCCGCCGTGGACTGGTGTGACCGCTGACGGCTGGTGTGGCCGCTGACGGCCATCACCGCTGTGGATGGTGTGACTGCTGACGGCTGGTGTGACCGCTGACGGCCGCCGCCGCTGACGGCTGGTGTGACCGCTGACGGCTGGTGTGACAGCTGACGGCCGCTGCCGCCGTGGACTGGTGTGACCGCTGACGGCTAGTGTGGCCGCTGACGGCCATCACCGCTATGGACTGGTGTGACCGCTGAGGTTAGTGTGACCGCTGACGGCCATCACCGCTGTGGACTGGTATGACTGCTGACAGCTGGTGTGACCGCTGACGGCCATCACCGCTGTGGACTGGTGTGACCGCTGAGGTTAGTGTGACCGCTGACGGCCATCACCGCTGTGGACTGGTGTGACCGCTGAGGTTAGTGTGACCGCTGACGGCCATCACCGCTGTGGACTGGTGTGACCGCTGACGGCTAGTGCGACCGCTGACAGCCATTACCGCTGTGGACTGGTGTGACTGCTGACAGCTGGTGTGACCGCTGACGGCCATCACCGCTGTGGACTGGTGTGACCGCTGACGGCTGGTGTGACCGCTGACGGCCGCCGCCGCTGTGGACTGGTGTGACTGCTGACAGCTGGTGTGACCGCTGACGGCCGCCGCCGTTGACGGCTGGTGTGACCGCTGGCGGTCTCCGCCGCTGCCCCTCCAGACGAGCGGTTCGAGTACGCTAAGAACTGCCGCGACGCTGTGTTGCTGCTGCACAAGGCTGGTCTGCGGCTGGGCAAGTACGACATAGAGAAGCGCATGGCCATCGAGGAGGAGAACTACGACAGGGCCAAGCTGAGGAAGGACCACTCGGAGGAGTACAAAGAGGCCGTGATGGCGGCACTCAAGGTGGACCAGCTTCTGGAGTCAGATGGGGTGAGACTCCAACGCTGAAGTGCGGTTTATGTGTGCGACTGCGGACCATTACGTGATGTGACGTGACAAAGTGCATTACGTGATGCGTTTTCGTCTTATGTGCAAAATGCTGAACTAGACATCTCCGCTGATGTTCACCTCACTGTACTTTGCTGCTGGTTGCGAAATTATATTGAAGTATATAACTGCATACAAAATGTTTGCATGTGTCGCTTGCAAGCCACTGGAAATTTGCTTATCCATATCAACACTACCAATGTCTGCAACGTGGCCCAATGCAGATCCGTCTTCCAGACGGACCCGAATAACAACAAGTCCCTGAACCTGGAGCTGCCACCGCCGCCGGGCAAGAAGAAGCGTCCCCAGACGCCGCCGCCGCCAGCGCCAGAGCCGTCGCCACCCCCGCGGCCCAAGTCCGACCCGCTACCTCCCATCCCACGCAGCCCAGAGGTGCGCCAGGACTCGTCTGGCTCGCTGAAGAAGCCGATGACGCCCCCGCCGCCCATCTACGCTCCGATGACGCCGCGGGCGCCAGCGACGCCCGCCAAGCCTGCGACGCCGCCGCGCCGCCAGCCGCCGCCACCGCCGCCCGCGCCGCGCTACCAGCCGGCCCCGCTGGCGCCGTCGCCGCTGCCGCCGCGGCGCGCCCGCTCACCGCTCTTTAAGCAGCAGGAGCCGATATCCAAGTACGCTGCGCCAGCGGGTCGCGCGCCGCCTGTCCGGCCTGGCCGCGGGTGAGACGGCGGACCAGCGCTCGGCAGAGGCGTGAGCACTCACCACCGGGTGAGGCGCACCGCACACCTCACGCCGCGCCTCGCACGCCATGTTGCATCGCACGTGTCATGCAGTGCCGACTTCTGTACGTCACTCCGTGGGTTCGCATGTCCAGACGCTCATCGGTGCAGTGTGCACTCGTGCCCGCGCATATTAAAGTCACGTTTCAGTGAAACATTGGACGGATGGTGGCGCTGCACAGAAATGCCCAACTAGCTGCCAGCATGCCGGGGCCCGCGCGCTCGCGCCCCGCTGGAGTAAGGCCCAGCCACGTCGCTTGAGTGCAGTCTGAAGTGATAACCGCCCCTGTTGACTGCGGCGGCGGCACGGGTAGCTGACCTCTGATAACGCGCGACGGTGGCCTGACCCGTCCGCTGCCTGCTACTTCCAGACGCAAGCTGATGGCCGGCATGATGGTGGGCGACGCCGGAAGTAGCAGTTTCAGCACACCCCGGCAGATGTCGTCCGTGCTGACCGATCAGGACAGGAAGGCAGCCGCGCTGCCCATTGAGGTGTTTGGGGAGCCTTTGGTGAGTGCGGTACGAGAGGATGATGCGGAGCCCTGTGCCGAGGTGAACTAGAAGGAAATGCTAAAATGCAGGTTTAGGTTGAGCCCATGCTGTATTAACAGCACGTGCCTAGCGAATATAACGTGGCCTATAAACACCGTGCAACCCCCGTTTCTAGCTATGCATCGATGAAACGTGCTCTATGACCAGGGCAGTAACTGTTGCAATTCATTGAAACAAAGGCATTTGCTATTAATTTGGTGGCCACTTCATGCAGGTTGAGCACTTCTACGCCAAGAGTTTCCTCCAGAAGGAGGAAGGGTTCCGTGATCTGATGAATGACCTGAAGAGCGGCGATGAGAGCGTGAAAGCGGACAAGAAGACCCGGGCTGCCACCTTCCTGCTTATGCGCGGACTCAAGGACAAGATGTACACTGTCAGCCAGCAGGCTGTGGAGGCGCTGGCCTACCTGACCGGGCCCTATGCCAGCCGACACAAGTAAGATGGGCGGAAGAGGGGACTTCTGAGCCCCACGGGCAGGACTCGCAGCCATCTGCCGCCGGCGAACGGCAGTGTGGGAATCGCCAGCAACCAATGAAAATACCACCTATGTTACAATGCCACGAGACGATTCCTTCACCGTGTGTATTTGCACAGTGATTTTGACTACTGCTCTTTTTGTGATAAGTGTTATCTTCGGGTACATTGCGTCTGCCTAAATTGCCACCCAGCTGACATCGTTGTCAGACCTCTAGTTAAACTTCATCTCTTGAAAAATGTTCATCTGCTTTCTCATCGCAACGACACATGCCACCTGTTCTCACTATCTCCTAATACCCCGTCGCCGGCCCTCACTTCTGCGCGCTCCCTGCCACGTCTCACTCTGCCCCCTCCCCCCCCCCCCCCCCCTACTCTGCCGCAGGACGTCCAAGCGCGAGCTGAGCAACACGATGGAGGCGGCACTGCCGGAGCTGATCCAGAAGCTGGGCGAGAACGCCACGCGCGTCCAGACAATGGCCGCGGAGGGCCTGCTGCAGCTGGCGGAGACGGCGCACGGCCGTCGCATGCCCGACGTCACGGCGGCGCTGGCTGCCCCGCTGCGGGGCGCCGTCCACACCCGGGTCGCCCTGGGCAGGATCGAGACCGTCGAGAAGATCATCATCAAGTACGGCGTCACCAACGATGACGGGTGAGCTCGCGGCACGGCTGGGCTGCTGCCGATCCGGTGTGACGGGCGTTGTTGCGTGCTGAAATGTCGACCGCGCACCCTCATGTGAACACTGGCCATCGACGGCCGTATGGAAAGCAAGGCTGGCAGGGTGGATATAAACTGAGTCGATCGGGTGAATCCGTCAACGGAGGATACAGATTGGTCTAATACTGTTATTTATATCATTTCATTCGAGGCCACCAGTCTTTTTCAAGCTACATCCGCTCAATCTGCGCCGCCACTCAACACGCGTCGGCCGTTCGTGTCCGCCATCTGGGTGCGTCCCCAGACCGCAGTCCACCGAGCCATCTGCGTGCGTCCCCAGACCGCAGTCCACCGAGCCATTTGCGTGCGTCCCCAGACTGCAGTCCACCGAGCCATCTGCGTGCGTCCTCAGACCGCAGTCCACCGAGCAGCTGGCCAAGTTCGCTCTCTCGGCGCTGGAGCAGCCTGGCGACCAGCTGCGCGCGGCCGGCTCCCGGCTGCTGCTGCTCGTGTACCCCGAGGACAGGCAGGTGGTGCGCAGCCTGCTGACATCTGGCGGAAAGAACAAGAACTCCAACTACCGATCCCTGCTAGCAGAGCTTGACAGGTTGGACGGCAAGGTAAGGAGGTAAACCGGCGGTAACTGCGTGCAACCAAGATCGTGGTCACTACTGTATAGCATAGTGACCCCTGCAGTGCTATGCCGAGTCATCCGCAGTGATGCGATTTGCTGGAGAGGTGTGGAATATGCGTCTTATCGCGGGCACCGCGGCAATGATGTGGCTTCGCAACGTGTTCTTTCTCACTCGCGGTCTTCTCGGTTCCAAGTGATCATTCAGAAATCTTTAATGTTATCGGCCTATCAATGCATTTACTTACGACAGTTGTGCTTTTTGCATGGATGTTGTTTGTCGTTGCTCATTTCAGCGTCTCTCTTGATGTCGTGTAGATGTCTCGTCACTGCATTTCACATTTCGTAATTTGCCTATCTACGTGCACGAATATTGGTGTTGTGATCATCAGTGGTGCTGTCAATGATTTCTTGAAACGTTGATGTGGAAGAGATCCCAAATGAGACGATGCGTACCGCGTTTACGCTCTTTTCGAAACCATTGTGTTGTTATCCTATGATTATTTCCGCTTTATTCGTCCCATGGGTTCGTTCAAGGGTGCACGTATTAGCTTTTCTAAAGAGTTCATGTTCAATTTACGTCATCAATCGACACTTTACACCCTTAATTGGTGCTTAATATATAAGATGGCTCCGTGTCAGCTGATATTGGAAAACATGGAACGGTGTCGGTACAGATTCATATTGCCTTAGTATCATCTCTGAAGACTCTGGTGATCGGAAATCAGCGGCCATCCAATCCGAGGACCCGTGAAACTTGTTTGTCGAGCGGAAGAACTCAAGTCTTCAGATATTTTCTATACAGGCTATGGAGCATGGCATTGCACCACTTGCACTCGGTGTCGTGGCTTCCCGGGGCGGAGATAAATACCTGGAGTTTTAAAACGCTGCGCCGATTCAAACGTGCGAGGCATCATCTCATACCATATCTCAATGAGCCTTTTAAGAACTTCTGGTGCTTATCTTCGCCGATGGGCAGAGTGGCATGTCGCCGTGAGTTCGCAAATATTTGCCAAATACACTCGGAACCCGGACCATGCGCCTTTGCTGAGCTCCATCCGGACACGCTGCCAAATTTTCCGACGCACCCGATTTCCATCGACCACCCACAAACCGGGGGACAGTTGTGTCGCGCCCACCATGGAGCGGGGGACAGAGCGAGCTGGCACCCGAATGCATGCGTGCAATGCACTACGCAATGCAATGCACCATCTGCGCGCACGCAGATGGCGCCTCGCACGGGTGCCAGATTCTGTCCGCATCATGAAGCCTGAAATTGCGCCGCAGCACCCCCACTGACAAGCAACTCACGCACCGTCTTTAAAATAACTTGGACCCGCACTATCTGACTTGTGTTGAAAGATGAGTGCAACACTGATGCATAACGCATTCAGCAGGGAAGGAAAGATGTGATGGCAGCCTTGACTAAATGGCAAACTGCGGTGCCTGTCTCATCGTTGATTGCATCTGCCGGAAAGCCGCGTTAATTTGTACTGAACGATCGGACACCTATCATCGAGACAGAAACGGCGCGTCCTGAGTGGTTGGTAAACTGTGGGCGAATTTTAGCTCTAGGGATCGCCTGATGCAACGCTGGCAATTATGACCGTTTCTGGACGGTTGGGGCGGGGAGTTCTGAATGCGTGCTTTACTGAAGCTTCTTTGCCATCAATGTTTGTGTGGCTGGTAGTCTGGATATGGTCCATTCTGCTGCCTGACACGCTCACAAGTCAACTCAGACACAAATCGCAAAGATCATCGCCGACGTTTTTCATGCATACCGCTAGCACGCATTTTCACATCTACGGACTAATGGAACTACGCCCATGCTCCCGTTTTCCGTTCTCCAACAGTACCTCGCAGTCCGTTAAGGTCCATTCCTCTTGAGGGTGGATCGAAGAATGATTACGCCAACCCTGCACCAAGCACAAAACTGGCTCTCAAACAGAAAAAGTTCTCTGGTTCCTAAATATAATTCCCGATACGTCATCGTTTCGTTGCGTCATCGTGCGCTGCAAAGCATTGGTTGAGAGCCAGTGGACGGCCGTAATATACGGAAATCGTGCTCACGAACGCCAGATATGAACGACTCTACAATCCTATTTTTATTGGCATTTATCGCCACATGGCAAATTAATGATATAATTTAAATGACGTTATTATGGCGTCATGGATGCCTGGGTGACCTTGAAAAAGTCTCCCCGAAAAAGCCCGCATATCTTCTTAGCGTGCTGCTCAGAAGCGAGAAGAGTTATGTCCCAAGAAGAGAGGGGTTTTGAACGGCACTGAATAATCACCAAGATGGCCTTTTCAGTCCAAGACACCCTACAAATGTGGAACATTTCCTTTAACGGACCCACGCACTAGCGAGCACCTTAAGGTAAAAATTATTGCATTAATGGCTGATAACTCCGAAGAAGTGTTCTATAAAGCGGTCATATTCGGAAAAGACAACTCAAGCTACAGAACTGAGTTCTGGGTATCTCGTTTACGCCCGAACACTTCATGCCAATGGAAACGTTATCCAATATTTTTTTTTTCTTGGGGGGGAGGGGATCTACAGCAAGTATTCTAGGCTTGGTGCACGCGGCGTATGACAGTGCATGTGGAAACATAACCTGCCAGTCAGCACTTAACTATCGGCGCAGCCCGGACAGCTATCTTCCTTGACTCAGACACGGTTTGGCTGACCATAATGCCCCATGACACCTCTGTATTCTTCTTTGAGACCAATTACCACCCGAATAAGGTCGCCTAATTTACAGCCCTAGAAAACGTGAACGATTAGACCATTCGCCGAAAAGTCGATTTTAGATTGAACGATGTACTCCCTTGATTCACCTGAACCCCGTTTAAGCAGGAGTTTTCACCTAACGCTGTAATAATTGCTAAACATTTCGACACTACTGCCGACCCAACGGAAGTTGAAACCACTCAGTGGCTCTGTCATTGTAGCAGCCTTCAGCACCCAGTATCACGACTCAAAAGTGACAATTTTCTAGGTTTTCACCATTTATTATGGCTAGACGTTGCATTTCGGACAAAAATGTGCTGCTTGTCCGCCCCAAAAAATGACCTATGTGCTGGGAAAGGCACAACCCTTGTGCGACCCCGACATCGCACCCTGCTCATGTTCTCTTGCACGTGGCGCGGTATGTGGAAGATATAGCAAGAGACTATGCATTATAGGGCTTATTGCGGAAGAGAGCGGTGTGCCATGTTTGACAGAAGAGCACCGCATTCCATGTTGCGCTTTACCATCGTATCATTTACCGCATCATATACTTAAGCTTACGCCAAACGGACGATATTTTCTCCCGAGTGCCAGGCGAAGAAATGATGCACTCTCTCGCCACTTGGACCCCAGCTGAACCACAGATGTGAAGTCAAAATAACAGATAGTTCTGCATCTGAGCAAGCCAACGATGTCAAAACTGATGCCTTCATTTCAGCTTGCCTCCAAGATCAGAACAAGTTCATTACTTGGGTGAAATGAAAAGAGCAATGTCGGTTTTCCGTGGAGCAAAGGATAAAATCTTTTAAACAGCAACGCCAGGCAACCGTGCTTTCAGTCAGAATTAGTGCAAAGCGGTGGTCAGCAATTGACCCAAGGTCAAACAAGGTCCTGAGGGATGATGCACCTTCTTTCACGTTGGAAACATAAATTATCTGTCTAAAGCAACTATTTTGTTTGGAGAACATCATCTTATCCTGGTCGCATAACCAAAATCACTGTTTATCACCGTTAAACAAAATTACGTCCTCAAAATACCAACACTGGTCGAGCAATTCTCCGCAAACCTTTACACACGATGTCATTAGTCAGTGACCCGCCATTATCTGGGACGTTCTGTTCGCGAGATGTGCACAGCCACTAAATCCTACGCAATCTTTACAGTTCAACATCACCCTTATTTATCACTTTCTTATGACCTCAGAAAGACCGTTTGGGGGCCACCAGCCCTTTACGCAGGTCCTTTGCTCACTCATGGTCATCCTTTACGTTACCGAAGGCAGAGACAGGTATGATACTTTGAAAAGAATCGCGGTCAAATTTGCAATGATTTCTGACCTCCAGATTACAATGCAACTACAAATGGGAAGATGGCTTGCGATATTCTGTGCTATCCATCTCCGAGCGCTTGAACAGTCAAAAAACAACCTCTAGTTTTGCCGGGGTCTCATGATAGCTTACGGCGTGTTCGTGCGCTAACGTCATCCTACACCATTAAACAAGCCACACTCTGGGGGATCGGGACCCCGTATCACGCGAGGGAGCTCAAGCTGTAGTATCCACAAACAACCGCCGATGCCAAAACACCTATACGTAGGCTTCAGTTAAATAACCTTCGGACAGAAGGGTACATTCATCTTTCGCTATCGTGCCTCCCAGGTTCACGCATAGCACATCCACACACCCATTTTAAGCCGTGGCAGCTGCCGTCAGATTGCATGTGAATAAATTACGTACGAGTTGGAAAACGCGGAGTCGCGCTAGAGGGGAGCATAACTGAGAAGAACTAGAGCAACCCGGCTTTCGTACCTCTAGGCAGGTGACCTGCCTTTTCGATCCCGTTATCTCACTTTGCGTGTGGCAGTGAGTGACTAACCGTCCCAGGGTAACGCCACTCACGCTTGCTAGCGTCACCAAAGCCAGGCCCGGTCTCCTTTCCCTTCGTTTCTTCAAGCACGTAGGGGATTGCCAGCAGCGGGTCAAACTGCTCCGCGTAGGGCTGTTTCGATTATCTTGTCCCATACCTCTCCTTGCCTTTTTATATCCGTGCCACGACCCAGCGACTGATATGCTGTCCCCTCCGCACCCGGAAACACCCGCTGAATGCGGGGTGTGCAGCTGTGGCAGCCGTAGTACCCAAGCTCTACGATCTCTCGCGGGCAGGTGACGGTTTCCCGCCAGAGGCATCCCACGATGTTCATCCACAACACTCACTGAGCACTGGGACCCCCAAACACCCGGTGTCGTTTCAACTCGGATGGAGGTAGCATACCTCTGCTTTAGCGTACAGCCTCGCCCAGCCATCTATGGTGGGGACCCCGGCCTATATATCTTGCAGTCAATTCCCGGTAGCCTAACACAGGCCGGACGTAAGCCTGTGGTCTGCTGTTGTCCGCCTGTGAGTTGTTCCGGTGTCCGGCCTGTCAGTTCCTATGGTTGTCCGGCCTGTGAGTTATCCGGGTGTCCGGCCTGTGAGCTCCTATGGTGTCCGGCCTGTGAGCTCCTCTGGGAATCCGGTCTGTGAGTTCCCCTGGTGTCCGCCTGTGAGCTCCTCTGGTGACCGGCCTGTGAGTTCCCTATGGTGTCCGGCCTGTGAGCTCCTCTGGGAACCCGGTCTGTGAGTTATCCGGGTGTCCGGCCTGTGGAGTTCCTATGGTGTCCGGCCTGTGAGCTCCTCTGGAACCCGGTCTGTGAGTTCCCCTGGTGTCCGGCCTGTGAGCTCCTCTGGTGACCGGCCTGTGAGTTCCTATGGTGTCCGGCCTGTGAGCTCCTCTGGGAACCCTGTCTGTGAGTTCCCCTGGTGTCTGGCCTGTGAGCCCTTCTGGTGACCGGCCTGTGAGTTCCTCTGGTGACCGGCCTGTGAGTTTCCCTGGGTGTCCGACCTGTGAGTTTCCCTGGTGACCGGCCTGTGAGTTCCCCTGGTTGACCGGCCTGTGAGTGTCCGCTGCTGTTCGGCCTGTGAGTGTCGCGCTGTTCGGCCTGTGAGTGTCGCCGGTGTCCGGCCTATGAGTGTCGCTGTGTCCGGCCTGTGGGTGTCCGCTGGTTGTCCGTCCGGTGAGTGTGGCTGGTGGGCCTGTGAGTGTCACCGGTGTCCGGCCTGTGAGTGTCACCGGTGTCCGGCCTGTGAGCGCGGCCGCCGCTGGTTGCAGCGGGCGCCGGTGGCTTCGCTGCGGCTCGAGGCGCAGCTGCAGCCGGTCCGGGAGGAGGCCGAGGCCAAGCAGCGCGCAGGCCACGCCGACAGCCCCACCCCTCAGCCGCGCGCTGCGCTCCAAGACGGTGGCGCCCATTGTCGAGGCCGAGCCGACGGCCACGACGACGACGACGAGAGGTGAGGCCCTCATAAAGGATGGGCTGGGCGGAGCGCGGGTCTGCACGGTCTCCCTGTGGCGTAGGCAATGTTGCTCTGCAAGCGAACATAGGTGGATGCTGGCAGAGATCGAAACTGGTTGCTGTCTGCATCGTTTGCTGTGCGGATGCTGCGTATTGTGAGACGGCTGTAGTCAGGAATGTGATCTGTCGTTCGCCAACTGCAGCCGACGCTGGTCGTAATGTGACGTGACATATGCAAAAAGGGGATGACTCACGCGGGCCGGATGTCGACAGAACGTGCGTCTTCTGCGGCACCGTCGACGACCGGTTCGAGACAGGGAGGGCATGGAGTACCACTTCTGGAAGAACTGC